AAACTCAAGCTTTCCAGCAGTTCTTGAGGGAGCTGGGCTCTGGAGATGCCCCGAGGCCCGGTGACTCCCCATAACCAGCAAGTGATGAGCCAAGGGCGGCCCTGCCTCAACAGAGCTTAACAATGGATACCTCACAGGCTTTGCGGTTTACCAAGCACTTCTCCTGCCACTCTCTTTTGAATTCAAGAGGCCCTTGAATTCAAGTGCATAAAATTGACTGCAATCACAGGCGAATACTAGTACAATTGTGTGTATTACGCTGCCCCAAAACACCTTAGCTCACTGGCCTGCTTGTGTCACGGAGTATATTTCAAGCTTTTGTTGTTTTAAAATAAAAAAAAATGAAACACACACCACCTTCTCAGGCCTGAGGCAGCCTTTACCCCTTAAAAGACAGCCCCCAACATGTACCAGGAACTGCAGTGGGGCGGGGGAGGAGGTAGGGGAGGCATAGCTTCTGAGACATCAGTGCCCTGGGAGAGGAGTCTAGGCTCTGCACAGCCACCTGCCAGGATACCCAGGAGCTGTTCCATCCGGGTAACCTCACCTGGGCACCTCACCTGGGCACCGCTACAAGAGGCTTCACAGATCTGCATTGGATAAAGGGCTGCTTGCAGGCAACAGGGAGTGGGAAAGGAGATGCCTGAGTGAGGTGACACCGGCCCCAGGAGACTCTCGGTCTCACTTTCCCTTGCCTTTAATAAAAGGGGAAGAGCTAACAGAAAACATTTTGGTGTTCAGGCCTCAGCTGTTGAGGAAGCGGCCTGTCATTTTGGAAAGAGCTTTGGATGGGGACCTGAAGATCCCAGTTTGTGTCCTGGCCCTGCCAGGAAGAAGCTGGCTTTGCGGATCTTGGGTGACTCCCCGTTCGCTCTTTCCACCTGCAAAATAAGGCATTAGTCTCTAGAATACAAGCTCTTCCAGGGCCCCACCCCCTGGCTCTGTGGCTTGGCAGTCCATTGTGCGGATTTATTTCCTGGGCTGTGGAGGTGGGAATCCTATACAATAGTCACCTTATCTGATGAGAGTGGGAACTGTGGCTGGGGGCTGAGGTATAGAGAGGGGAATTCCGAGGGAAGTGTCAGTGAAAACACAAAATCATAAAACTTAATGCCTAATATTATCTTTTAATGAAGCCGTGTGTTACGTCCATTCATTTTGCCAGTCTTTTGCTGAAGACTGGTGCTGGCACTGAAAATCCAGGACATCTCTGGGTAGACTACACCCCCAGTGCCAGGGCTCCCAGTTCCAGAGTGGGGATTCAGTCAGTGGGATCGAGAATTTAGGATCTTGTCAAACAAATCTGAGTGCAGAGTCCTTCCAGATTCTTGCCAATTTCTCCTAATCTTTTACTATTATCTCACCAGCACATACTTTTATGGCACTTTAAATTTTTATTTTATTTATTTTTTAAAATACATTTTCATAGATTTCAGAGAGGAAAGGAGAGGGAGAGAGAGATAGGAACATCAATGATGAGAGAATCACTGATCGGCTGCCTCCTGCAGGCCCTCTACTGGGGATGAAGCCTGCAACCTGGGCATGTGCCCTGACAGGGAATTGAACCCTGACCTCCTGGTTCATAGGTCAATGCTCAACCACTGAGCAACACTAGCTGGGCACAGCACTTTTTTAAAAAAAAACCCACAAACATCTCAACTTTATTGAATCCTTCCACAGCCTTCAATGTAGTTTCCCTTGAAATCGCTTCTTTTGTACTCGTATTTTCGGTGTATGAACCATTTAATTATATTTTTGTAATTATAGTAATCAATGGGTTTGGGAAGAAACACAACTGATTCCCAGTAAACAAACAACCCAGTGGTGGGAGCAGACGTGCGGGTGACGTACAGCATCTCCTGCGGCTCCAGGTCACCTTGGGCGTTTTTACCGGAGGAGATGGAGGATGTTGCTTAACCTGGCTGGTTGATTCGGTGGAGCCTGGTCAGGGGAGCTCCGCTGTACCAAAGGCCTGAGAGGGGGCCTGGTTAGGATTAGCATTGGCTGCAAATAACAGACCCCACCTCCCAGCCCCCAAATGACTAAAAAGTTCAACAAGCTCCATGTAGTTCTTCTGTCACAGCAGAGGTAGATGTCCCAGGGCCAGTTTGGTAAGTTACAGCACAGGGACCCCAACTTCCTCCATCCTGTTGCCCTGCCTACCATGCAGAGCTGCCCTCCCCAGGTCACTGGTAATGCCATCCTCTCTGGTTGGCTGGGTCTGGCCTGGCCTTGTCGCTCCGTACTGAACACTGCACCCCATTTTGCTCTCTGGGCTGGAGAACCCACTCTCGCCAGGCCTGGTGACCCTCTGTTGGGTCTCCTTACAGCTGCATGGCTGGGGCTTGGGGCTTCAACTGAGGCTCGGAGGGTTGAAGGCATGTCGCCAGGGCCATCTACCTGTGCCAGCAGGTGTGGGCCAGATGCTTCCACATGGGAAAGGCCTTGAATGCCAGGCTGGCATGTGTAGCTGTGAGTGCTTTTGTGGGAGATCCTTTCAATGGTCTGGTTCGTCTCTAAGTTCAGGCTCTTTTGCTCTTTTAAGCTGGGCTCAGGGCCCCTCTGTTTTCTACTTGATTTTTCTGGAGCGAACCTTGTGTTGAGGATTCCCGAGTCCTATTTCAGAGGAGGCTGTAAGTATTTCTGTGGGAACTAAGACCAATTACTTTTCCTACTGTTCTCCTAGAAGCCTCTTTAGAAGTTTTCAACTAAGTTAATAGACTGGAAAGATTAGATTTTTTTTTTTTAATGTAAGAAAGATGCGTTAGTCATAACTTTTTCACTGATAGGTGACAGAAACTCCTACTGGCATGTAATCTAGAAAGGAAATTTACTCACAAACTGCAGAGTATGGATGGGGACTAGCCTGGCTCAGGCACAGCTGGATCCACGTGTTTAAGTTATTTGTTTAATGTGGGGAATCTACCTCTCTCTGCATCGTGGTTCTGCATTCCCTGTGCTGGCTTCATTCTTAGTCAGGCTCTTCGTGGGTGCTGACAAAGATGACTGCCTGCTCTCCAGCCCCCTTGTCCAAATGCTCCGGCAAATTCCTGGTGTTCCCTCCCCTCCCCTCTGAACCAGTCAAACCTGTTGTGGCCCCTGGACAAAGCACATAAATTAGCCAGATTGTGCTTATGTGAACCTCCCGGGTAGAGGGGTAGGGTGGCTCGGGCTGCCGCCACTGGGAAGGGCGGTAGGTGGGGGGCCAGCCAAGTAACAGCGGTGGGAGGAGAAGATTGTCTAATGAAATGGCTTTGTGGGGGCTTCATGAATACCCCTCACTTCCTTCCTCCAAGGCAGGTCACAGGGCCACAAGCCCAGACCAGGCCGGGTCTCATCGATTCGGCTCCATGTTGGGCAGGCTCAGGCTCAGCAGGAAATAGAGTCATGATCACTCGACAGATACTGTGAGCGCTGATGACCCTGGGGTCGGGGGTTGGTGGAGGTTGAAGGGACACAGGATAAAAGAACCAGTAGGTTTAGGACTGAGGGGGAGGGTCAGAAGACAAATTCGAGAAGCAGGGACCCTCTGAGAGCCCCAGTTTCCCCATCAGTCACATGGGGATGCCGACCATTGACTGCTCCCTGCATCTTGGGAAGGTACCAATAAGACCATGGCTGTGAATGTCACTTGAATGTCAACTGCAAGTGCGGTATCTGACCATCACTGCTGGGGTGTCTGACACATGCGAGGCTCCCACCCGTGTTACTTCATCTTTGTAAAAACCCTGTGAGGTAGGATACTTTTTTTCCTCCCCATTTTGTCAGTAGAAACTGAGGCAGCCAAAGGTATGCCCTGACCTCAAAGGCCTAGTGTTAGTGCAAAGCCAGGGGCTAGTTCTTTGTCCTCCTTGTCTAGGCCTCTTTCCGTTCCAAGACAGTCCTTCTCTCTGCACCTTTGGCTTCCCCTCTGTAAATTATTTGTTCATTAAATGCTGTTTTACCTAAATCCTTCCTCCAAGCCTGTGTGGATCTCAGAAATTAGACTCGTACGGAATTGTATCAAATGCTTGAGCAAGAGGGGTCCATATGGTCTGTCTGTTTGACGCTCTCTTTTCCAGAAGGGGCAGTGAGAACCCGACTGAGGAGGTGACTCATGGAAGGATGCATAGTGAGTAGGGACAGACCCAGAAGCCAAGCTCTGTCACTGCCGCCACCCCTCCCCCTCCTGCTTCCTTCCACTCAGTAACTCAGAAAATGCTCTCTGGGCCCGGCACTCAGCGAGGCGATTTGCTGATTGCAGTCAGGAAAGTGGAGCCACCAATTTCTCTGGGAGATGCATTCTTTCTTAAGCAGGGAATCGATTTCCACCAAGATACACAGGCTTCCAATGAAGCCACTTACGTGAATCTGGATGAAGCACCATTAATTCACTGCCAGGGGCATTTATCTCCCTGGCTTGGGGCAGCCACGGTCCTTATCTGAGCAGGGTGTGGTGTTGCTGGAAAAATGGGTGCGGAAGGCCCTCATGGCAGGGGTGTGAGCAGACCTATGGGGGGGAGGGGCTGAGGGGCCGTCCGGGTGAGGCCAGTGCACAGGACAGCATATCTAGCCCCTCACCTGTCTTGCTCAGCCCTGAACCTGCGGTGTGACTTGGGTCTTTCTCAGCCCTCGTCTGTAGCTCTGTCTCCCCATCACTGAATGGGAATAAATGGTCTTGAATGTTCCTTCTCACGTTCAGAAGCAGGATGTCGGACGACAGCAGGCTTTGTAGGGAGCAAAGAGAGTTGGATTTGAACCTCAACTTCACCTTTCCGGGATCCTGGGTGCTATGGGTTGAAGTGTGCCCTCCAAAAAATACCTCTGGACCTCAGAATGTGACCTTACTTGGAGATGGGGTCTCTACAGAGGTAATCGAGTTAGAACGAGGTCACCAGGGTGGGACCTCATCCTGTATGACTGGTGTCCTTCTTAAAAGGGGACATTTGACACAGGCACAGGCAGACATAGAGGAAAAACATGTGAAGAGACAGCGGGGTAAGACAGCTGTCCTCGAGCCAATGAGACAGGCCTCGGGAGGGGCCAACCCTGCCAACACCTTGATCCCCGACATCTGGCCGGGGACTGTGAGGCCACCCATTTCTGTCGTTCAAGCCCCAGCAAACTCATCCAAGTGACTCCATCTCCGAGTTTCCTGATTCGTCACGTGGGGACGGTGACACCTGCCCTGAAGGCTTGTTTTAAGAATCTAATGGGAAGATGCATGCGCTGCCCGCAGCCTGGCCCGTGGCAGGTCGTAAGCCTCACTAATAGCAGTGGCCTGGTCCTGTGCTGTGACCTCCCAGCTCCACTGCGGGGCCCCCGGCAGGCGGCAGGTACAGAACAAGAAGGCCTCGAGTCAGACCTTTCCGAGAGAACTGGGTCATCCCGGCGCCCCTTCAGAAGCCTCTCCTAATATAGAGAAGGCCGGGAGCTCACTGCTCACGCGGTGCTTAAAGGGTTTTCGCCAGAGTGGCCTCAGCCCTAATTGACAAGGCCGCAGAGCTGAGGTTTCTGCATTTTTATGTCCTGGACACACTTGGAGTGTGTCGAGCTGCTATGGGTAATCAATAAGGGCAGTAGTCATGGGCATTTTATGGGTGTTAGTAAAGGAGGTGACATGGTTTTGAAGGGAAGGATAGTCACTGGGTGACTCGGTGAATCCTTTATCCTCCGTGGGCCCCAGTTTCCATGTCTGCAGAGTGAAGGAGGGAGACAGGAGTTCTTAGGCAGCATCTCTGAAGGCCTACAAGTTAAGTACCAATTCCTTGCACATGTATGCATCGCACACGCGTATTTTATGGAGAGCGTAAAAGCTCTCCATAGCTTTTGTCTGGTTCTTGAAGGGGCCTCTGGAGCCCAAATTGTCCACGATAACTCGCCTGGACAGCCTCTCAGGGCTGCTGATTCCTGGCCTGTCTGGGATTCTGATGATAACGTTATTTCTAAGCCTCAGGAAGCAAGTCCTACAGAGCCAGGTGCTCTGTTACTGGGATGAAGGGGATCCGAACATAAAGGAATAGCTCCCCACAGAGGTTATTGCTGGGGGGTTTGCTGGCCAGGGACGCCCCAGCTGCCCAGCACCCTCCTGTCTCTGCGTTGGGCCCTCCTGTGTCCCTCCTGCCCCTCTTTTGGATGCTAAACCTGCCGAACCCATCTGCCTGCTTCTAAGCTGGTCCCACCCCCATCGTACTTGGAGCAAACCCAAATCTCTTACAATCCCTACCTGATCCGCCTCCACCTGCCTCTCTGAAGGCATCTGGTCAGTGCCTCATGCTCTGGGCTTGGTCCCCACTTGGGCCTCTGCCTTTGCTGGGCCTTCTGCCTGGAACGTTCTTCCCACGTCTTCCACCACCTGGCTCCTCCTTCCAGTGTCAACTCAGGTACCGGCTCCTCCAGGAAGCCTTTCCTGACTGCTCTCCGCCGCCCCCCGCCCCCGGCCAAACTAAGATAGATACCCGCCTCGTTAGCCTCCATCAGCGCACCTGGTTTGTTTCAGCTGCACTAACATGATCTATAATGAAATATTTATGTGTTTTCTTCCCCCACGAAGATGTCCACTCGTGAAGGAATGAACTGAGTCTTCTCTGTCACTGTGCCTGGCTCGTAGCAGTTACTAAGTGCACCCACTAGCGTGGCTAAAATTAAAATGAGTGACAATGCCAAGTGCTGGTGAGGGTGTAGAGCAACTGGAACGCTCACACCGTTTGGGATGTCCAGTGGTACAACCTCTTTGGAAAACAAGTTGTAGCTTTTGTAAGTCACACACACACTTACCATAGAACCCAACAAGTCCACTCCTAGGTATTTACCCAAGAGCAATAAAGACATATGCCCACACAAAGACTTACAAACATTGTAGACTTCATAATAGCCAAAAACTAAAACCAAACCAGTCGTCCATCTAAGGAAGTCCCCAAGAGGGGGCTGAGAATCCACCCGAATGTCCCCGCGGCCAAGGCAGTTGAGTGGTGGTCAGGGTGTTGGCAGGGCCTGGAGTGACACGGTGCTCAGTGTTCGTGGTTGTTGAGTGCACGTGGGCTGGAGAAAGACTGGGCAGGTGGGGGCTCAGGTGGTTGGGGGCGTCCCTGAAGACAGAGGCTGCCCGAGCACCGTGCTCCCTGGCCTGAGCAGGGGGCGGGCCACTCGAGAGAAGCTTGCTACCCATGCATGCCGGATTCTTGCAAAATGCCAATTAAGACATTTGACCTAAATTCGGATAAAAGCCTTTTTCCTGTGTCAAGTTGAGCTAATAATATACATTTATTCATAATTTATGAGGCCTAGTAAGTGGGAACAATTAAGGAAAAGGCCTCCCAAACCTATTTCTCCTGTCACATAAGCTCCTTTTTTGTTCTCTAATGCAGTTCTGCCCCCTCTGCCTGCCATGAAATGCTGTTGTTTTTATTATTGAAAAAAAATTTGTTACTATGGCTGTGAGCTACCATTTCTCGAGCGCTTGCCGAGCCAGGCGATACCGTTGTTTCATCGTAACCTCATGAGGCAGGCGGGGGTTTCCCATTTTACAGATGAGGCAGCTGAGATTTGGAGGTGAAGGGACTGGCCCAGGGTTTCATGACCGGGGCTCATGAATCAGATCCACCAGACCCCTGGGCCTACGGGACTCCATTTCAGTGTCAGTCTCCCAACTCGGGCTGTTTCTAAATTGGCAGGGCAGCCCTCCTACTGGTAACTGTTAAACTTGGGAGATGGGGATGAGAAAGCGCTGGCCTTCTGATTCGGGGGGGCCTGGGGTTAGGCCTGAGAACCTGCGTTATTTCTAACATGGTCCAGCTGCTGCTGACACCGCCGGTCCTGGGACCACCCTTTGAGAAGCACTGGTTCAGGCAGTGATGTTACCAGAATCCGCACCCACACTGGCAGGTGGGCTCAGGGCCTTGCGACCTTTTCCTGTGCGTGGCCCTGTTACGGTACACAGAGAAACGCGTAGCCTGTTTTTTCTCTTTACACACGTGGAATACCTACTGATATCCTGCAGTTTAGTTTCTTGTCTAACATGTCTTAAAGAGTATATTCAGCCACCTCATTCTCTTCAACAGCACCATAAGATTCCATGATACAGGCGATACTAGTTTTATTTACCTGTTGTCTCATGATGGGTGGGCTTCCGCATTTTAGACTTTACAGATATTCCTGTCAAGTCCCTGGGAACACGGGTGAGTGAGTGTCCAAACATAGTCCTCACTCGATAACATCAGCCATTATTATTATTATTATTGCGATTTTTGTTGCTTCCTTATTAATATGGAGAGATTGTTGTCTTCCAGAAATCTCCTTTCAGCTGGGGGCAGGTATGGGAAGGAGTAGGTCTCTATTTACAGGTCCTCATAAAGTTTTCAACAAAACATTGCTGCTAAGAGAAAAGAGGGGCTACGTGGGCAGGGCCTTGAGGGATATATAGGAGTGCAGAGGAGAAGGGGAGAGAACAGCAGGCAGGGTTGTACTGCCAGGGCCTGGCTTAGCTCCTGGTACATTCAAAAGATGTAAGAGAGTGGGGCAGAACTTGACATTTCTTGGTCATTTGGCAAAATGGCCTTGGCCAAGGGCGGCCAAAGGCCCGGACTGGCAACATCATGAGTAGGATGGTCCCCACTTGGGTTTAGCCAAGCTCAGCTCTGACCAGCCTCCCTCCTTCCTGTCTCCTCAGGGTGTGGGGTCCGAGGAGGAGCAACTCTGCGCCGACTTTCCAGAGCTTGACCTCTCCCAGCTGGATGTCAGCGACTTCGACTCGGCCACCTGCTTCGAGGAGCTGCAGTGGTGCCCCGAGAGCTCCGATACTGAGCCCAGCCACTACAGCCCCGACGACTCGGAGCTTTTCCAGGTATGACCTCCCGAGCCGCTGTCCCTGCCCAGCCGTGGCCCCCTCTGCCCCTGAAAGCCTGGCTCTGCTCGCACCACCTTCTTCCGCACTTGCTCACGCAAAGAGGTCTCCTCTTGGGACTACCAAAGCTCTTACGACTGTGTCTCTCGCCCTGGATCTGCACTTGATCTCGGCAGCTCTCGTCCTTGCCAGGCCCTCTGGAAAGTCTGGAAAGTGAGGAGCTGAGAAGGAGCTGCTCTCTCTGTGCCCCCCCCCGCCCCCCATCCCAATCAGAACCCAGTCCCTCTGCGGGTCAGGGCAGGTTCCAAGTCCTCCCTTCCCTGTGGTAGCTCGCTCAATTCTCTTCTCTATCCTGTGAGGCAGGCATGATTATTTCCCCATTTTGCAGATGAGGAAACTGAGGCTCGGAGGGTTGAAGGCATGTCGCCAGGGCCATCTACCTAATCAGTGACGAGCTAGATTCAAACCCAGTCGGCCTGCCTCCCAAGCCAGGGCTTTATAGCCATGATGATGCCGTGATGGGAATGCCTCACGTTTACTGAGCAGCTGCTCTGTGGCAGGACTGCCCGGCTTGCATGTATTAATTCACTTAATTCTCTGAACAACTCTCAGACATAGTATAGTTATCTCCATTTTTCAATGGGAGCCTAGAGGGTCTTTAAAAGAGGCAGTGCCGAGAACCGCTGTGCATACATATGCCTCTCATCCTGCAAGCTCCCAGCCCCGGGGCACATACTGGGTGATGTTTCCTTTAAGAAGCCCTCTAACGTGGAATACTAGGATGTCTGAGGTTTGCTTCAGAATAAAGCAAGCTCAGGAGCATTTGAGATCTTGCTTCCTGGCACAGGTCATCAGTTTGGCTCAAATGAACTCCCACACAAAAAAGAATAAGGCAAGCTCTGCGTGCATTTGCGTGTGTGGGTGTGTGGGTGACCTGGAGGGTAATAGATGAAAGGCGATTGGCCATGTTGTTGAGGCTGGGTGATGGGTACATTCAAGTTCATTATTCTTTCCTTGAAATGTGCTCCCCCATGAAGGCTGGGGGAGAAGACGTAGCTCCCTGCGCCTGTCTGGCCCTGTAGCAATAACAACAACAGCATCCTATGTGCCACTTGCCATGCAGGTGCGCCATAGCATCACCTCGGATGGTGCGGAAGATGATAGCGTTGCCTCTAGACATGTTTACGAGCTCACTCTGTGTGTCAGGCACTGTGTTCATCGTGCCCTGAGCAGCCTAGAGGGGAGAGTGACCCTAGATCAGCTGACACATAAACAAACTGTGCTCATTGCATTGGGGGCACAAAAGGAAGTGAACTGGAACGAGAAGGGGTCCTAAAGATTGGGTGTCAGGGAAGGCCTCAGGGAGGAGATGCTTCAGCCGAACGGTGAGAAGGAGGAGCCTCGTGGAGACCAAAGAGCAGGGACAGAGGACACAGTACGTGCAGAGCTGGGAAGCAGGAACAGAAGGGCTGAGGGGTAGAAGCTAAGGGGAGACCAGGAGATAGTCAGAGAGGTAGGCAGGGCCAGATCATGCAGGGTCTCTGTGGGCTAACGTAAGGAGTTTGATTTTTTCCCAAGGCTATTCTGATATATGAGTAAAGGACTATTAATAACCCACTTCACAGGTGAGGACAGTGGCGCTCAGAGAGGTTAAGTAACTTGCCCAAGCTCCCACAGCTAGGAGGGTCAAGGTGTAGACTAACCTAGGAACCCAGAGCCCTCACTGCTACACAGCCTCTCTGCCAACCCCATGAGGATCAGCAGGGCTGGACTCCAGGTCTGGCTCCATCTGGTGACCTTCATTCTTTACGTGAACAAAGGGAATGAGACCTACGCTATGCTGCTCCCTCCCTCAGAGGGCGCCAATCTCCAGAAAATGCTTTTATGTGTGGAGACTGATGAGTGAGAGGGATTTAGATGCTGCGTGGGGACCATCCCCTGCTTACCCAGAGATTGGCCAGTCCCACTAGCAAGATCCTGCCAAGGTCCTACTATGTGCATGACATGGTCTCAGACACAAGTCAGCTTGGGGCCCCCCCCCCCCCCCCCCCCGCCCCCAGGCTCCCAGCTGGCAAGAAAGGCAGAATCCTCACTGATGCTTAGGACTATGCAGAACTCTGTCCACCCAGCCCCTCTCCCCTTGCTGGCCTGTGCCCCCCACCTGCTGCCAAGACTAGGCCAGCTCCACCCATTATACATGGATGCGCCTCTGTGCCTGTGATTATGTGATCGGTGCCTGATTCCCGCCCTGCCCCCTCGTGAGCCCCATGGGCATGGGGACCTGATGGCATTGTGCCTTGTTACAGTCCCAGCGCTCTGCACGGAGCCTGGCACTTTCTCAGGCTTAATACGTAGTTACCAAGTGACTACATCCTTCAGTGCCCAGCTCTCATGTTGGCTCCTTCTAAGGAAGTTGGTCAGTCACTTCCTCTCGTGGGTTTGCATCTTGTGTGTGTGTGTATGTGCATATGTGTGCACACGTGTGTGTTTATATGTGTCCTTTAGACTTCAAGCTCCCTGGAGGACAAACAGCATTTCATTCATGAGTGTGGGCCCTCACCCATTGTCGGGACTCAGTCGTATGAAGGCACCGATTATAATGTTTCTTTCCTGCCAAGGGCCAGGTGTGAGCCAGTCCACAGCCTTGAGCTGGGACTCGGGGGCCATAGGTTCTACCCGCCTCCTGCCACTAGCTGGGGTAGCTCCCTCACTTGACCAGTGGGACTCGGAGCAGTGCTGCCTTGGGTCACAGGTGTGAACTAACAGTCAAATGACACCATGGCTATGGAAACAGACTGGGAGGGTGAAGAACAAGCTACTGGGACAGGTTTGACAACGCCTCGGGGGCTCTGCCCAGAGGCCTAGGGTTGGGCCCGCACAGGCACTTGGTAAGCATTTTTGGAGGAAGCAGGCGTTTGGCTGTTCTGTCAGCTGTGCCGTGTGGCCCTGGGCAAGTAGCTAGCTTCCTTTGGTTGGGCCTCAGTTTCCCCATGTGAGCAATGAAGAGGGAACATGGATTCAATCAGTGGTTCTTAATCTGCTGGGGGAGAGTCGCAGGGTCCTTTAGATTCGGATGAAATCTATGGACCGACTCCCAGTAAAAAAGGGGGAAACTGATTTCCTGGGTTTCCCAGGCTCCAGTTAAAGCCCCACCCCCCACCCCCGAGACAGTAGAGGATTTCAGAGTGTCCTTGCCACCCTGATTGCCTAAATTCTGCCCTGTGACATTCCTTCAAGCACTCTGGGCCCAAAATGAAGCGTTTCCCCCCAGATTTCGTACAGACTCCTTTCCTCTAGCTTGAAATCAGCTCAGGAAGCTTGGGGGTGGGGCTGAGTCTATTAATATCCCTTCCTCCGCTGATTAACTCTCCATTAATTTACACTCCGTTCCCAAGCAGAGCTGGGGGAGTAGAGCTAATGGGCCAGGAAGAGGAGAGGGTTGGCCCAGCCTCTGTACTGTATTATCCTACAGTGCCGATGGGATGATGCTGTGGGCAGGAATAGCCTTTCTTCCCAGGGAGGGCTGAGGAGATGGCGGAGGCCTTTGGTTAGTTATTTTGTTGATGCCAACCTGTTGGGGGCTTCTTGAGGTCTCTGCCATTTTGTATCCATTTGAGCACAGCGCCTGGCACACAGTAAGCCCTTGACCCCCTCCTCTGACTTGCTGTCTTGTGTGACCTTGACAAGTGTCTTTCCTGGACCTTCATTCCCCCACCCTAAAAAGAACAGCAACTGAGTTTCCTTGTGAGCGCCAGCTGTGCTGCACTGGCCATTGTTGCCTGGAGGGCTGTGCAACGAAAGAAAGATGCTGGCGAGGAAGGAACAGCCACCGCTGCTTAGCAGTAAGGGGAGTGGTACACTTAGGTCACGTGGTTAACATCCCTGGTCTCTGTGTGATCCGGGAGGGATCTGCTGATATTCGCGATAATTCATAGTATCTCTGGGCCATCGGCCACCTCTGGGAAAGGGAATTCTCATTCCATCCAGTGCTTGATGACATCATTTCTGAGTAACATTCCTCTAGAATCTGTTCTTTGAAACCCTAATCTCAGTCTCTCCTCGTGGCCAGAATGCATTGTGTGGGTCATTCATTCTTCCACTCAAAACATCTGCCTGGGTGCCTCCCATGCTTCAGGCACCGTCTGGGCACGGAAGCGCTTTCATCATGACTTCCATTGAGGCTCAGATCCGAGCCCCGAGCGGTCAGCCCCAAGAGTGGTCATTGAGCCCCAGGTTCCAAGACCTTAACTCCCTGTCGGGCTAGACAGATTGCTCTGGGGCCATGGGGGCTCCGGTCTTTGGTTGGGGAGGGTGGGGGGAGTCAAGTGAGCTCCCTTGCATTCTTTTTTTAAAAATATATTTTATTGATTTTTTACAGAGAGGAAGGGAGAGGGATAGAGAGTTAGAAACATTGATGAGAGAGAAACATCGGTCAGCTGCCTCCTGCACACCCCCTACTGGGGATGTGCCCGCAACCAAGGTACATGCCCTTGACTGGAATCGAACCCGGGACCCTTGAGTCCGCAGGCCGACGCTCTATCCACTGAGCCAAACTGGCCAGGGCTCCACTGCATTCTTGAGCCAGAGTCCATGGGTCCAGATCTACCCTTGGTCCTCTTCATCCCCAGGGCTCAGGTCAGGCCCAAGCAAAACCTTCTTGTGACCTTTCTTTTATTCTTAGCTGTGTCCCAAAAATGACAAACGCGTTTGTTCTCTTCTCCCCGTGCCCCCCTTCGAATCACTCAGCTGCTGCTCCGGCTGCGAGGCCTGGAACAGATTTAGTGGGGCCAAAAGGCTGTCACGGGATGCGTATTTCAGATGAACTTCCTGAAGGAAGGATCAACAGCCTGACCTGGGGTGGGAAAGCGTGCGGGGGGAGGCATCATGTGACAGCATGTGCTGCCAGACAGGCCCAGCAACCAGGGGTTACTAAATGGGGTCCTCGCTGCCTCGCCGAGAAGCAGGGTGAGCTCCGCAGTCCGGGCCCCCAGTCCGGGCCCCCCGGCGTGGGCTGGTGGGCTGGGAGGGTGCTCCCTGGCCCTCCTTGCTGTGGATCTTCGACATCAGAGCAGGAAGGGTCTGGTTCATCTGTGCGTGGAGTGCTCGGTGCCCTGCCTCTGTCCTGGACTCGCTGTGTGACCCTGGACACCTCACTCAAACTCTACGAGCCTCAGTTTCCCCAACTGTGAGACAGAGATTGGAATGGCACCCGGCTCTTACAGGTTGTTGTGAGGCAGCCGTTCTGTTGCTCTTTTTAGCCAAATTCTTTGCCCCAGGCCTTTGTGCTTGCTTTTCCCTCTGCCTCGAACCTTCGTTCCTCCCCCTTTTGCCTGGCTGGTGCCTTCTCATCTTTCAGGGCTCCTAGTGTAAGTTTCAGCTGCTCTGCACAGCCTTCTTTGACCCCCCAAAATAACCTGTAAACCTTCACCATGTTCTTATTCTGCATCACAGCTTCCTTTTATCTTCTTCCCAGCCTCTCTGGTTCCCTGAAATGATCTTGTTTGTTTCCTTGTTTAACTCTCTTATCCACTGGAGTGTACGCTCCATGAGGGGCTGTACCGGTCTCGGCATGTTGTATCACCAGTGCCCAGTCAGCGCCAGGCACAGAGTAGCCATTTAGTACGTATGTGTTAGGGGGAGGGAGGGAGGAAAGAGATGTGGGAGGAATGGTCACTACCACCACCACCACTACCACCATCATCTTTATTATCATCAGCACTATCAGTGTCATCACCATCATCACCATCATCACCATCACCATCATCACCACCATTATCACATGAATTATAGTAGTAAGTAGTAGTAGTAAGTACTTATATGTTAAATTATTTAGTCCTCAACAATAACCTTATGAAGTAAGTATTACCATTTGACAGATGGAAAAAACTAAGGAACTTGCCTAAGGACACATATTTGAAAAGTATGGGTTCTGGGATTCAACCTCAGCTCCAGAGCCCAAACTCCTAACCACCACACCAACTACCTCTCTGTGAGTGAATGAGGCGGGCAGGCCCTGGGAGCCCGCAGGGAGATGGTAGCTGTGGTTGTCCTTGTCGTGGCTGAACCCTGAAGCTTCCACCCTTTCCACTGCCTGCCTGGGCCCAAGGGTAAGAGCCGCTGGGACCCGCAATGGGGTGCTGCTACCAGGGGCATAGACCAGCCTCAGGGCTCTGTCCCAGGGGTTGGATGCGGGAGGCTGTGGTGCAGAGCTGCTGTCCCTGGGAGAGGGGACTGGTCTTGGTAGCGCACAGCCCAGACAGGGACTCCCAGGGCAAGACCATTTCCTATCTCCTGCTGCCTGCTCCTACACTCTGAGATTCTTGGAGTGGATAACACATTTCCTGGGCATCTTCTACCGCAGCACTTCTGTGAGAATCTGATGGGGGAAGCATCCTAGAGGGTCTGGCAGGAGAGTGATGATGGTGCAGCTGCCTGTGCACAGCAGGCTTCTGCCGTGAAAACCGCTGAGCTGAGGTATGACTAACCGTATTCTCTCTCTGTTCCAACCGTGCTCCCTACTTCAGATAATCGACAGTGAGAATGAGGCCCTCCTGGCAGCGCTCACCAAGACCCTGGATGACATCCCTGAAGATGACGTGGGTCTGGCTGCCTTCCCAGCCCTGGACGGTGGAGACACACCGTCCTGCACTTCAGTTTCGCCCGCCCCCTCATCTACGCCCCCCAGCCCCTCCCTGGAGAGCCCCCCGGCCAGGGCCCCTGAGGTGGATGAGCTCTCGCTGGTGAGAACCTATTTCCAATCAAAGAGATGGTGGTGGCCTGGGGTGTGGTGCTTGGCTGTAGGGCTGGTGGGTTTTGGGAAACCGACTGTAGCCCCTGTAGAGGTCTCCATGCATCAGGGGCAATGGGGTTCACAGAAGACAGCCTGGATGGGAGGCCTCCCTGGGCCCCACCTTTACCACCCGCACAGCTGGACTAGCCACAGAGGCTTCACACACATCTGCAGGCCCTTGGAGATTTCATGGATTGACCTTGTGTTGCAGAACCTTGAAATTACATGCAAGCATTTTCCTAAAAAATTATACATACACACACAGTAAAAACTCAAGCAGATGTGACAGTGAGAAGCAAAACTTCCTTACTTATCTCACGATCGCTTTTTCCTTCCCCAGAGCGTACTGTGGTTACTGATCTGTTATATGACATTATTCCTCTTCCACCTTTTTATTTTTTTACTGCACAAAGGGAGCCTACATTATATTCTGCTCTGCACCTTACTTTTCACAGTGTAACTGCGTGTCTTTGCAAGGCTTTCAGATGAGTGCAGGTAGCTCTGTCCCATCCTTTTTCTTGGCTGCATAGTGTTCCTTTGTAAGGACATACCATGGCTTATGTAACCAATCCCCTTGTTGATGGATATTTCTGTTGTTCCAACTCCTTTATTGCTACAGTGCTGTAGTCACTGTCCTGGCTCAGTGGCCATTGACACATGTGAGTAGATAAATTTCCTAGAAATGGAATTCTTGGGTCTACAGATACATGGGTTGTTTTTTTTCCAGTTTAGACAGATACTTCCAGATTGCCCTCCAAACAGGTTGGACTGGTTTATACTTCCATCAGCAAAAGTTAAATGCTCTCTGTGTGAGTATATGCAGAATGTGGGAATGTGCACACGGGGTCACAGCTTTCTGGGGAGACGGTCTCAGCTTTTATGAGATTCTCAGAGGGGTCTAGACCTCGAGTTGCTCATAGCATTGCCCTTGACTCAGGCTGAGGGTACAAAGGCCAAGATGTCCTGGGGCGTGAAGTCCAGCTACGCTCACCTGTGTTGGGCTCCTTACCTTGGTGCTATGGCTCCTGGAGGCCGGCGAGACCCAGAAAGTCAGCCTGTCGGAACTGAGGAGGTCTTGGGTCATGGAGAGTTTTGAGCTGGAAAGGCCTTTGACCATGGGGCACGGAGACCCAGAGTGGGGAGGCCCCTTCTGTGGTACAGCAAGTCGGTGTGCCAGTGGACACTGAACCCAGGACGCCTTTCCTTCTTTCCTGCTTCTAAGTTCCCCAAAGGAGCGTGAACCATTTAGTAAGCACCTTGGATGTGCTGGACACATGAGTATGTTCAGTCCCACATTGTGGCTGCTGCCGAGAGGGCCCTGCTTCCTGCAAGATTAGAATCAGACCTCCTGGGTTTGAATCCCCACCCCCACTCCCCACCCTCCACACCCATTTAACACTTGTGTGTCCTTAACCTCTCTGACTCAGCTTCCTGGTTTGTAAGGTGAGGTCAAAAACAGTGCCTATCTCAAAGGCTGTAGGTAATACACGTAAACCGCTTAGAACAGGGCCTGGCACACAGAAGTTGCTCAATAAATGCTCTCTAAGTAATGATCCTGGCACGGCCATTACTGGTAGTAACAAGGGGAATTCTCCGTGCCATTTCTGTATGGGGCTCTGGAGCGGGACCAAACCTCTGAGAGGCAGAGAGCGACCCCTACTGGTCACAGACCGTTCCCTCCTGTGCCTGGATTGCCTTCATTCCACACGTTTTTGAGCAGTGTTTCAGGCACTGTGCTAGGCACACAGGAAAAAGACTCCTAGTAGACGGTCAGAGTTAGAAAGGCCCTGAGATGTCCACATGCTCAGTTCTTAGCCTGGAGTCATGGATGCCAGAGAGCCCACCATTGGCTTGACAAAGACCCATGGACCTCTACAAACCTGTGCGTTTTTCTGAGGTCAGCAGCTTCTAGCATATTCTTAGAGGGACTCCTAAGTAAAAAAAAAAAAAAAAAAAAAAAAAAAAGGTTCAGGTATAGTCATCTAATCTACCTGCCCCTGTTATTCCAATGGAGAAACCAAGGCCCAGAGAGGGAAAGGATTTGCCCACGGTCTCATGGTGAGGGGCTGAGGTGGGCCAGAACCAGGTCCCTTCCCTCCAGTCCGCAGAACTTTTCCTGTCCACGTCAGAGAATCACGGATGTGTGTGTATTGGTGTGGGGTCCAGATGGGGATCCTCCAGCTCCTACAGGAGCGTGGAATGGCCTTTTCTCTGCTTCCTGGGCCTTTGGCACTCCTTGTTGGGGCCACCTGGGGGATATGACCCCCAGGGAAGCACTCGGTGCTTTAGCAAAAACCTGCCCTACTTCCTGGCTTGCTCACGGCTGGGTCTGAGATGGGATCCCTGGTAGGACTCCAGTTGCACTCAGCTCCCTACTGTCTCGGCTGTGATGTGTTGCATGCCTGCCCTCTGGATGCAGACGTGTAAGCATCTCAGCAGCTTTTATAGAAAAACGAGAAAAGCCAGACAAGATGAAGTGTCACATGCTTCTTGTGTAGAAACACTGGGTGGCCAGAGGTGCTATGTGTGTAGCATTAAGTGCAGAGAGCTGATTGTCTAACAACCCAAACACACACATGCATCCCAATAAAACAGTGGTTCTCAACCTTCCGAAGGCCGCGACCCTTTAACACAGTTCCTCATGTTGTGGTGACCCCCAATTTCATTGTTACAAATTAAACATAATTAAAGCATAGTGATTAATCACAAAAACAATATGTAATTATATATGTGTTTTCCGATGGTCTTAGGCCAGTGGTCGGCAAACTGCGGCCCCTTGAGTGTGGCTCTTCCACAAAATACCACGTGCGGGCGCACACATACAGTGCGATTGAAACTTCGTGGCCACACTCAAGGGGCCAAAGAGCCGCATGTGGCTCGCGAGCCGCAGTTTGCCGACCACTGTCTTAGGCGATCCCTGTGAAAGGGTCGTTCTACCCCCAACGGGGTCGCGACCCACAGGTTGAGAACCGCTGCAATAAAAGGTAAATCCTTTTCAAAATTAATTACCTAAGAAGAATATCTGTGCCTTTGAGAAACCCAACCAGATCTTGGATCATGGCTGCCCATTCTGTTAAAGCGTGATGTGCAGGGTGGGACAGAAGCAGGATTCCAGTTCTGAGTCCGCGAAACACAGAGTTTATTCTTGTATTATTACTGTGTATTCATACAAACAACTTTAACCCTACCTTTGCCCCACTCTGTGTATTGGGAACATAGTCTAGATCAAAGTGCCCGTCCTATGTTTTTCCCAGTCCTGTGATGACCCGGGTCAGGCGTGGTCAGTCCGAGGGGCTGGCTGGGGCTCGGGCCTCTCCGTCCTCCATGGCCTCTGGCTGTGGCTCAGCCCAGCTCCTCTTCTCTCTGTTTCTCCCGCAGCTGCAGAAGCTCCTGCTTGCCACGTCCTACCCAGCGTCCAGCTCCGACTCCCAGAAGGAAGGGGCCGCCTGGCGCCGGGCTGGCCTGAGGTCCAAAAGTCAGCGGCCTTGTGTCAAGGTATTTCTGCACATGCCCCAAACCCATCTGGCCCCAGGTGGCTGGGGGTGGGGGTGCAGCCTTCAGCTCCTGTCAGGGGGTTCAAGTTTAGTCGACTTCCTGCTTCCCCCCTTGCTTCTCGGGCAGTCCTTGTACCTGGTGTGCTAGGCACTTCATGAGACCCAGGCCCAGGCCGGGGTTCCGGGAAGAGCCCCGCACATTCTCACACACACCCATGTTCAGCAGCGTCAGAGACGGGGCTAGAGCAGGGACAAGGGGCACGTGGCCTGTCCTCAGGGGGCTTTCTCCATGTGGTGACAGCGTGAAACAAGACCCCGTGGTTTGGGGACCACAGTAAGGAGCTGGGTTTCTTTCGGGGGAGCCCTGGGGAGTTGGCAGCTGTATTATGAACACCCAGGAGCTAAGCCAGACCTTTTCCCTCCTTGGGCTCCGTCTTCCGAGACTTCCAAGGAGAGGTTTCGGGGGCGATTTCCCAGCGCCCCTGTCACTCACGGCCTGCACGCAGCCCTCCCCCTCCTGCCATGGGACACTCCTGCAGGGACTGGCCTGCAGTCCCACCTCGCGGCAAAGTGGGGTGGCCTCTCTCGGGCTCGGGCTCTGTGTAGCAACCTGTCCCCATGCCCTCTTCCTGGCTGAGTCCCAAAACAAAGGTCTGCCCCTTATGTCCTGTTCTGTTGAGCAGGCAGCAGCTCGGCTCCTTGATGAGCCGGCTCTTTGCCTGTGGGAGGCTAGGAAGTGGCCCAGAGACGGGAGACACACCTGATAGCCCTTCTGGCCCCAGCAATGACACAGGTGCCCTGGAGGAACGCCCTGGACAGACAAGTGGGGACAGGGAGGCTGGTCAGAGTCTCTGGGGCCACATTTCAGAGGGCCCCCCAGTACCTGGCCACGGGCACTTTATCCGATGGGCACTGGGAAGCTATTGAATTTTTCTTCTTCTTTTTTAATATATATTTTTATTGATTTCAGACAGGGGGAGAGAGAGAGAGAGAGAAAGAAACATCAATGATGAGACAGAATCATTGATTGTCTGCTTCCTGCACTGGGGATTGAGCCCGCAACCTGGGCATGTGCCCTGTCCGGGAATTGAACCGTGGCCTCTTGGTTTGTAGGTCGATGCTCAATCACTAAGCCATGCTGGCCCGGGCTCTTTTGTATTTTTTTAACAGCTTTATGGAGGTGCCACTCACATATAAAAGGCACCTGTTTTGGAAATAAAATTCAGTGATTTTTAGTAAGTTTACAGGGTTGCATAGTCATCACCACAACCCAGTTTGAGAACATTTCCTCCATCTCAGAAAGACCCCCAGTGCCCATCTATAGTTAAACCCTGTTCCCACGCCTGCCTCGGGCAGCCAACAGTGTGCTTCCTGGCGCTGTTCCTGAGGCAGCGGGCAGGGCTGTGGGGCGGCAGGGCAGGCTCTGCTGTGAATCGGAAGGGGCGAAATCCAGGCTAGGAGGCCAGCCGTCCCTTCGTCCCTCCATCCCTCATCGCCTGAGCACAGCCAGGGCCAGGCTCTGTGCTGGGAATACAATGAGTGAAACCTGGCGGTGTTGGATGATCCTCCTGAGCCCGGCCAGTGGCTGCAGGGGTGGGGCGGAGGGGAGGAGCAGGGTGGGCCTCCCTCCTCACTCTGGGCTCTTTTCCTTCCTAGGTGGACAGCACCCAAGAGAAGAAGGCCCCCACGACGCAGCCTCAGAGCCGGAGTTGTTCGGAACTGCATAAGCACCTCACCTCGGTGCCATCCTGCCTCCAGGCGAAAGCCCACTCCCCAGAGAGGGGCCTGCAGCCACCAGCCCCCCTGCCTCCCCGGCTCCCCGCCAAGGAAGATGAGGAGCCGGGCAAGGACTGCCTGAGCCCCCAGCCAGCTCCAGCCTCTCCCTGGGACTCCCCGGCGCAGGGCAGGGCAGGCCCTGGCGCCCAGGTTTCCCCGGAGGACATGCAGGCCGTGCTGCAGCTCATTCGCTACATGCACACCTACTGCCTCCCCCAGAGGAAGCTGTCCACACAGGCCTCAGAGCCCGCCCCTCCACCCTGCACCAACCCCTCCAAGCAGGTCAGACCCTGGGCCCGGTCCCCGCACCCTTCCAAAGCCACATGGGCTGAGTTTTCCATCCTGAGGGAACTTCTGGCTCAAGATGTCCCCTGTGATGTCAGCAAACCCTACCGCCTGGCCACGCCTGTCTACGCCTCCCTCAGGCCCCAGCACAGGCCCAAAGACGGTCAGGCCTCCCCGGGCCGCCCGTGTCCCGTGGAGGAGGTGAGGGTCGCGGCCTCACCCAAGAGCACCGGGCCCAGTCGCAGCCTGCGCCCACTGCGGCTGGAGGTGAAAGGTCATGTCAGCCGGTTGGCTAGGCTGCAGCAGGAGGAGGAAGAGGAAGAGGAGGAGGAGGAGGAAGAAAAAGAAGAGGAGGAGGAGGAAGAATGGGGCTGGAAAAGGCCAGGCAGAGGCCTGCCGTGGACCAAGCTGGGGAGGAAGCTGGAGAGCTCGGTGTGCCCCGTGCGGCGTTCCAGGAGACTGAACCCGGAGCTGGGCCCCTGGCTGACGTTCACCGATGAGTCGCTGGGCCCCTCAGAGCCCCAAGGAGAAGGAGCTCTGCCCTCGCTGAGCCTGGCTCCCGAGGCCTATGACACGGAGGGGGAGCAGGGCAGCCCCACGGACGAGGATAGTGGCCCAGCCCAGCAGCAGCCCCGGGGACCCCAGATCCCGGCTCTGGAGAGCCCCTGTGAGAGTGGGTGTGGGGACACGGATGAGGACCCCAGCTGCCCGAGGCTCCCTTCCAGAGGTAGTCGGAGTCCGTCTGCAGGAGAGGGGCAGGGGTGGGAGGTGGTGAACCCCCCTGTGCTGGGAGCCGGGAGCCCTGCATTGGTCAAGTCCCTTCTCCTCTCTGGATCTCAACTTTCCTTTCTGTACAATGGGCTAGCTGGGCAGATCTTCAGGAATTACCCGTACACCATGCATGGGCCAGACGCCACTTAATGAACAAGGAGGGAGATGCCTGCCTTGATGGGGCTTGTGTTTCAGTGGGGGAGACAGGTGACCAAAAAGTAAGCACAAAAGGAAGATAATTACATATTGTGATAAGTGCTCTAAAGAAGACTTCGTGGGTGATGATGTGACAGAAGGTGTGTCTATAAATTCAGCTCCACAATGAAGGTGAATTTTAAATAGTAACAGTAGTGATGATACTATTAAGAGTTATCGTTATCTGTTCTTCTGTGTACTTGTGTGCTTACTGTGCCAGGCACTGGTCGAACACAGATGATCCCCATTGACCCCTCACACGATTATAATTACTCGTTATAATCCCCATTTTAAGACACAGAAATGGAGGCACCGAGATATCTAGTGATCCCTTCAGCTGGTTAGTCCTGCATCCATGGGTGCCAGAGCTCATAGCCGCTGGCCTTGGGCTCCCAGCTCTTCCCCCTGTGCTACCCTGTATGGCCAGGAGGGGTCGCCCTTTGCACTCATCTGCTCTTTCTGGGAAATGGAGTAGATCTGCCGGGAGCTGATGTTGCTGAGACCCGGGGATGAAGGTGGCTTTGGGTTGTTCCCTAAAAATGGCAGAGGCTTTTGGGTCGCATGCTGAGGGGAGCTGTGCTTGGTACCAGTTGGGGTCTCCTCCTGAGGGAAGCATTTGCTAATGGTGCTATGTTGAGGGATGTTAATTTTTTTCTTTTTTGTCTTCTTTTCAGACTCGTCCAGGTGCCTCATGCTGAGCTTGTCACAAAGGTAGGTTTTGGAAATTATCAGGTTATTAGTCCATGAGACTTTGTCCTTTTGGGGGTGTAGGTCGGGGCGGGGGGGAGGCTGGGTGGTCCATCAGTCCTGAGCCTGGCCCTGCCCCCATGCCCGTGCCCTCATTGCCCCCGGGGCCCTCGGAGCTGGGCTCCCTTAGAAGGGAGTTTGTTATTAGGCACTAGGCTCTGCAGGGAAGGGTGGGGAATCAAGGCCTCCACCGTTTTGTAGGCTGTCCTCTCCAGGACCAGGGAAGGAGTTCTTTTCTCGATGGGAGAAAGCTGGAAATGCTGTGTGGCTTTGGGCAAGTCAGTCTCCCTCTCTGGGCCTCAGATGCTCAATCTATACAATAAGGAGGCTGACGATCCTTGCCCTCTCTCCACTCTCCAGCACATCTCTCTTGCAGCTTTGAACTTCCTCTAAAAGCCAGGAAGGGGAGGGGGGACCCCCAGCAAGTTCTCCCCAGGCCTCACTTCCAGGGGCAGCAGAGCCAGGGTCTATCACGGTGTCCCCTTGCCCCCTCCCATGCTCGGGGAGGTGGGGCCTGCTGCTGACCGGCCTCTTTCCTTTCTGTCCTCCCCGCCCACCAGTGACCCTCCTTTTGGCAAGAAGAGTTTTGAGCAGACCTTGACAGTGGAGCTCTGTGGCACGGCAGGTGAGCCGGGGCTGCCCTCGGGGGAGCTGGCACAATGCCTAGCAACGAGTCCCCCACACTGAGCAGCCCCTCGGGCAGTGAGGGGTGCCCCCTTGAGCTCTCCCTGCCACTGTGGCACAGGCTGTGCCAGGTCTTGAGATGCATCATGAGGGTGTTATAAGGAGGAAACTCAGGGGCCAACCGGCCTGTGAGCTGATGTCGGGCTCAGCAAAGGCAGAGCCACCGTTTCCCCCAAAGGAGTCCGCAGTCCTATGCGGGAGACAGACTCACACCATGATGAGTACTGTTTCGTTCCCACTAATTCCAAAGTATGTGCAGAGCTCTGGGGGCACAGAGGGGCGGTGCGAGGGGCAGAAGTGGGGCCTGGGCAGATTTGCAGGGGGCATTGGAGCTGGCCTTACAGAGTGAGTGGGAGTTGGGGAGACAAAGAAGGAGAAGGGTATCTGTGGCAGCAGAATCAGCAGGAGCAAAGGCAAGAGGAGGGAAAGTACAGAGGCCCCTGAGGGGACCGCTCACTGAGCCTTGTGACCTGGCAGAACTGGGGGTTCAGCAAAGAGCAACCACAAGAGGCTGAGAGGAATGCCAGGCTGAGGGGTGTGGTGTTGATCCTATAGACTTGGGGAGCCCAAGAGAGGAAGCGATCTGGGTGTTTTATCAAGTTCCCTCTTGTGCGTGGGGGAGGATGGAGGCCAAGGTCAGATGCAGGAGCACTAAGGACACCGGGGTGATCAAATCCAGGAGGGAGGCAGCTGGGGGGTCCTGTTGAACGACTGGATGGGGAGCAGGAAGTTATCCTGGATGGTCGGGGGCCTCGGCTGCCATCGCCAGGCTACAGAAGGGATGGCAAATGGGTCTCATCACATGTCAGCTCCGAAAAACGGATGGTGGACTCCGAGGAGTCCCAGGCTCAGCCAGGAGTGCAGTAACCGATCAGTGATGCCTGCCATCCCATAGCGTTTGGGAAGTGGGGTCCCACTTTGCCATCCCAAACTAGGGTTTCAGTGTCTCTTGGAGAAGTGATCTGTGTCCACCTCACATGCGTCTCCTCTTGCATGGGTAGGACTCACCCCACCCACCACCCCTCCGTACAAGCCCACAGAGGAGGACCCCTTCAAGCCGGACATCAAGCACAGCCCAGGCCAAGACATAGCTCCCAGGCTCCCCACCCCGGAGGGCCTCCAGTTCAGGGCGGCCACAGGGGCGGCCCACAAGCTGCCGAAGCAGCACCCGGAGCGGAGTGAGCTCCTGTCCCAACTGCGGCATGCCACCGCTCAGGCCCGCCTCCCAGGCCGACCAGAAGCGCCCCTTCTCCTGTTCCTTTGGAGACCATGACTACTGCCAGGTGCTCAAAGCCCGAGGGCACCCTGCAGAGGAAGGTGCTGAGGTCCTGGGAGCCATCTGGGGTCCACCTTGAGGACCGGCCCCAGCAGGGTGCCCTGCAGGGCGAGGCGCAGGCCTCGGGCTGGGAGGAACACGCAGGTGCACTCCCCAAGGACAGTCTGCTGCTGAGAGACCACGAGATCCGCGCCAGCCTCACCAAGCACTTTGGGCTCCTGGAGACCGCCCTGGAGGACGAAGACCTGGCCTTGTGCAAGAGCCCCGAATACGACACTGTTTTTGAGGACAGCAGCAGCAGCAGTGGCGAGAGCAGCTTCCTCCTGGAGGAGGAGGAGGAGGACAATGACGACGACTCCGGGGTCAGCCCCCCTCGCTCTGACTACTGCCCCTACCAGAGCCCACCGAGCAAGGCCAGTCGGCAGCTCTGTTCCCGCAGCCGCTCCAGCTCTGGCTCCTCCTCCTGCCGCTCCCGGTCACCAGCCATGCGCAGGACCTTCAGGTATGGCTGGGTGGCCTCAGGGGGGACGATGGGCAGCTGAAGACCCCAGTCCCCAGGGTACCAGGGGAGGGAGGAGCCTTGAAACCGGGTCGGCGTTTCCCTGTGTGGTCCGTGGCCTGGTTAGAGGCCTGAGGGTGGTCTCCTCGGGGGAGCTGTGCGCTAGTCCTGGAGGCAGGCAGAGCCTGCTGAGTGACCGTCAGGAGAGGCCCAAATCTCCTGGCCTCAGGCGGGGGAGAACCTCTACTTTCCACCATTTGGAGCCTTATGTCTAAATGAACTTACTTCTTATTCACCTGTTTTCTGCTTACATAGTTGTAAAATGGGTGGGTTTTTACGGAAACACTAGGGGCCCTGTGCCCTCTCGCAGTCTGGGACCCCTCACTCCTACCCGCCAGTCACGGAGGTGGGAGAGGCTCCCGCCACCACCACTGTGCTCGCCAATCGTGAGCCGGGCTTCTGGCTGAGCAGCACTCCCGCTGTGTTCCCCTGTTCGGTCCATTTGCATATTAGCCTTTTATTATATAGGATATACCTACCCACACAGTTTAACACCTATGTGACACTTACATGTAAAAGGAAAATTAGCGTAATTCTATTCTGTGTTCTGAAACATACCGGGGTTTCGAGCAGTGATAAGGTTTTTTCCCACTTTTCGGTGCTGCTGAGTTGCACTGTGACTTTCCAGTCAACCCCCTTTTACCTTTGCTCAGGGATGATGCGAAGGTGCGTCATGAGCCTGTTTGCTCATCCCGTCTTTGCTCACTGAACCGGCCTGCAGAGGGAGCCGGTCCAAAAGTCAGTGGATTGCCGGGCAGAAAGAATGGAGGTTTGGCATATTTTGGTGGAGGCAGGTTGCTTCTCTCCCTGATCCCAGCAGGATCTTCCTGGGGAGGGGAGCCTGAGGTGGGCTGGCGCAGGTCCCAAGCCCTCTGTCTGAGATGCACCTGAGTGACCACTAGATGGTGCTATTGGGTCTAGAGCAGTGCCGCTGAGTCACCTGGAGGGCTGTTAACCGCAGATGGCTGGGCCCCACCCCCTGAGTTTTTTATTCTGTTGGTCTGGGGGTAGATAATTTGCATTTCTAACAATAAGTTCCCAGGAGATGATGCCCAGAGTCCCCAGAGTATGACTCTGAGAACCAGAATTCAGTAATAGAAAGATACCTTTTCTTAGAAAATTTCAGCTTCCTATTTACATATCTACACCAGCAGCTCTTCACTGTTTGAAAATCTGATCAATGCAAAGGCTCCTCCCCCATTAAAAAATGTGCATATACATCTAACTGGGCATTCGATTTTTATGGGACTCCCCAGGCACTAATGTTTAGAAGCCTGGACTATGTTACTCAAAATGAGCTCCCCGGCGATTTCTCTAAAAGCCCTTCCCTATAATAAGCCAGGATGATCAGTCAGGACCGGCTTCCCTTAGACCTCTCTCCGCTCTCTTGCTCTCTTTCCGGCTCCGTTCTCCTTCCCCCCGGGGTTGCTGTGAGCTAAATGACTCAGTGTTTACATTAGGCAGTTTCTCTGCCACGTTTGTTCCTTGTTCCAAAGCTGCTGAGGTTCTATTCCTGTCAGACCCACCCCCCAGCACTGGAGCTGGAACTGCCCAGGCTCCTCCCCGCTGACAGGTTCTGGGGTGTTCAGGCAGGGCCTGCACTCGGGGCCTGCTGGCAAAGAGTTGGGAGCCTTTCTAGAAACCCCCACAACCTCTTTTCCTCTGCTCGCTTTTGGGCCAAGCTCAGCCTGGCGTGTCTGCTCACTGGAGAAAGTTGACTGACTTCCTGCTGGGCTGCCCGGCAGAGCTCAGCACCTGGTCAGCCTGGTAAACTAGTCGTCAGCCTTCTCCAGACCCACAGTTCTGTCCCTGTGCTTCCGCTATCAAACATTGCTCGACAGGAAGCGTTGTGAGCTGGTTTAACAACACTAACCCCTAACCCCGCAGTACCTTCCGGTCGCTCTCGGCTCTTCGGGGGACACTGCCAATGCCATCGCAAACGGATGGAGATACTGTTATTGTAGCGCACTTTAAAGCTCGCACCAGATCACGTCCACTTCTCTCACCCGACCTGAGCTTCACAGAGGCCTTTGGAGAGTGCATCTGCTTCCTATCCCCGTTTTATAGACGAGGCTGAGGCTCAAAGGGGTTCAGCAGAAATACAGGGCAAGCAGTTATTATGCACGTAGATCCTGGGCTCGGCATTTACGTGCGTTTTCTGATTTGACCCTCACAAAAGGCTGAGGAGGTGGTTGCCATCGATCTCCCTATTTTGCGGATGAACTGAAGCTGAGAGGGCTTACGGACCGGGCCCGATGTCACCCAGCAGCGAGGCGGTAGAGCCGGGCTTCAAGCACAGGCTGGCTGACTCCAGAGCCCTGCTCTTATCCTCTGCGCTGTATCATATTCCCAAGGGTATAGACCAGCCGTGGGCAAACTACGGCCCGCGGGCCAGATCCGGCCCGTTTGAAATGAATAAAACTAAAAAAAAAAAAAGACCGTACCTTTTTATGTAATGATGTTTACTTTGAATTTATATTAGTTCACACAAACACTCCATCCATGCTTTTGTTCCGGCCCTCCGGTCCAGTTTAAGAACCCATTGTGGCCCTCGAGTCAAAAAGTTTGCCCACCCCTGGTATAGACAGCATGTGGCAGAGCCGGACATGGGGCTGTGATGGCAACCCCAGCACCAACCACCAGAGAGCAGTGCGTCTGATTCAGCAGACCTTCTTCCTCTGGCTTCTGCACGTTCTGGTTTCAGCAAATCCCATCCTGCACCTGAGCCTCAGGGTTTTCATCTAGAAAATGGGGAAACATAAGGCTGCATTGGTTTCTTCCTCCGATCAGATACGAGAATGAAGTGAAAGGGCCTTTTCATCCATAAGGGCCTGGGAAGGTGCAGATGGGT